AAAAAGTACTCCAGAGTGTTGTTCAGCATGGGGGTGAGTAGAAAATGAAGGCTAATCATGTTTTGGGTGTACTATTCCTTTAAGAAGATCGATAATTTTTAAGATTTTTTTAAAAAGGGGGATACCATCCCACCCTCTACTAGAGTACTGTGTATACATATTTAGTAGTTGGATTAGATAGATAAGTGATTTGTCATTCAGGAATATGTTTAATAAGGAGCCCTTACCTTGGCTGTAACCAACTTGTGGGTTGTATTTTGCATAAGCGATGAGGACCCTGAAGAGTTTGGCCTGGCCCTCGATGGCCTCTGGACTCTGTCCCATCAGGGATCGATGGGTTGGGAAGGATCGCTCTGTGATAGGAAAAGATCAGGCGCATTAAACAAAATGTATTTCTTCTTCCCTGCCTGCATCTCTTTTTAAATGATCTTTCCATAAATGCATGTGTACATGTATATAAAACCAATGACACATAAGATTATAGAAGGGTAGTGTGACCTGCATTAAGAATGGAAAATGATTGAATAAAAATGACCTTATTTAAGTCTGGAGGAGATATCTGTTTATATTTTTATCCCTGAACATTCTTACTCAAAAACGCAGATATTACAAAAACAAAATCTAGAGTGTTGTGAGTATGAATTTGCTGCCAAACTTTTTTGTAACATCTAAAAATGAGAAACATTTTAAAGATAAGACCAGTACAGACAAGATGATCTCAAATGATTTCTACTGATGAAAAAAGTGGTGTCAAAAAAACAACGTATAATGTCATAGAAAGATCATGCTCTTGTTTTAATAAAGCTGAGATTGGGTAGCATGACCTTATAAAGTGTTTATGTAGAATTTATTTTTACTTTAAATAAGAAATATCAGTTTAGAAAGTGTCTTTTAAATAATAATTGAAATTATCTGTCTATAAAGTCCATCAAGGTTATTTTTAATTACTGTTTTTTTTTTTTTTCAATCTTAATTAAATCTTGTGTCATTTCAAATCATCATGAGTAATAAAAACAGAATCAGTCAGTAGGAAGTCACTGTAGTACTTTGTCAGGACAGTTTAAGCCTTTCATATGTTTATTCGTAATAACTTTGAATTTATTTTTCCGTGTGAACTTACGTAGGTCCAGGGCGATCTGCCTGAAAAGAGTTATTTCATCCATAGAGTAGAAAGAGTCAGAGGAGCTTGACGGCTGCTGCTGGTTCAAACGCAGATCGTTCTGGGTTTCACTCAGGGTAGTGATGGCAGACAAAATGCCATATTCACTGACGCCCAGATCCACAAGCGGCCCGCGAACTTCAGACAAACACGTCTGTAAGGGAATGAAAACAAACTAATTAAAAAATAAATAAACACCTTGGCTTATGAGAGAACTCTATACATGTGCTTCAATAAGCAAAATGCAAAGAAAAGCATTGAGGCTAAAACATATTAATCCATCCATCCATTTTCTGTCACGTTTAACCCAAGCGGGTGGCGAGGGGTGCTGGTGCCCATTTCCAGCTGTCTACGGGCGAGAGGCAGGGTCAAAACATATAAATTATTTGATCTTAAATTAAAAAATTATTAAAAAAAAAAAAAAAACATAATGTGCCCCAATTCTGATTTTTTGGGGTCAAGCGATCAGGTCTGGTTGTTTGGAACAAGTGAGGATTCTCAGATATCCAGCTTTTTATTGTTATTACTAAGGATCGGAATCAGAAACTGGTTCCTGTTCAGGCAGCTCGCTTAACGATTCCAGGCAGCAGCAGAGCCTAGCGCTGGGCAGAACGACTTACGTCACCTTTTTTACGCAAGTTACGCACAAGGCATTTAGTAAGCAAGTAAGACGCGACCAGGTGTAATTCTAGAAAAGGAAAAAAAACAAAAAACATTCAAAGCATTTGAAAGTTAGGCTTAATTTTAGTAAAGCGCAAAGCACCTTGTTGTCATTGTCAATTACATCCGCAGGAGAAAATACATCCAACATGCAGAAACACCTACGCACACAACATGGCATACATTTGAACGAATGCCGTGTTTTTGATGCTTCCGGACAGAAGCTAAAGTTACGACCAGCATGGAAGGCAACTCTGGTCAAAAGTAGCTAGTTTTATATCACTGGCGGTGCTTAATGTGGTTCCTAATAAATCATATGCCATTTTCCTACCTCTCTTTGGGGTTATTAAGGGAGAGTGCCTTTCTCCTTAATCCAGCCCTTCATTGCTAGCATGTTTAATTAGAACTACTGGAAGCTGAAATTCTTACATGATTCTAGCTGTTGCAATGGATGTAACCAAACATGCTAGGAAGTTGCTCCGCAGTTCAGTGAGAGAGAGAAAGGTGACGCTTGTTTATTTAAATCAGGGGGAGATGAGTTTATTTCCCAAAATAGTACAGTAATGCTTTTTCATTAAACGGATGCTATCTTCATTCGATTTAGATGACTGTGACGAGACGGGTAGCCTGGCTGCTCAGAGGCTGGCAGCTCCTGTTCACGGACTTCTGTTTTCACCGAGGCAGACAGAGATAGAATGTCCCAGGCGAAGGTAGACGAATGTCACCGTACACTTACCAAGTTCATTGTTTCACATAATCGGTAAGGAATCGAATCGTGTCACAGAATCGATAAGGGAATCGGAATCGTGAAAATCTTATCAATTCCCAACCCTAGTCATTACAATGTCACAAGTAAAGAGCAACGACATTCCCTCTCTGCATTTAACCCATCCCCTTGGGGAGCAGTGTGCTGCCATTGTGCCGCAGAGTAGCGGTCTGTGGCAGGGGAGCTCGAACCCAGAACCTCAGGATTCCAAGCTCTACGCTCTAACCACTACCTCCACTCCCCAGATCTGGCCTGTGTCTGACTCTTTTAGTCAGATACAGGAATTCTGATTTTCCAGCATCCCTAAATCTGTTTGGAAAGTGACTCCACTGGGAACAATCAATGCGGTTCAGACTTTGATGTCATTTTCCATCAAATTTGTCATAATTTTTGTGCCGCCAAGCAGGAAGTTGGAAAAAGAGACAGAAGATGGGATAGTAACACTGCAAAAACTGATCTGAAACTAAGTAAAATGTTCCTGAATATTTCAATTTGCTCCTGATTTTAAGAAGGTAGATAAAATTATTTACCAATGAAATGAAAAAGATGATTGGAAATTATGGATTTGAAATAACACCTTTTTCTTCATGACAATGTTTTATTGTTTTTTTGCGCATACAGATCAGTTTGGTATCACAAATGGTTCATATTGAAGTCAGATACAGGCAACATTTTTTAAGGCAATGGGGACAACATAAAAAAGCATATTAAGATCTGCAGTTGCAGTGAGTGACCATGGAACCACAGTGACATCTGCTGGACAAACTCTGCATCTACATCTTTCCAGGGAAGTAGTTTCCAACACTACAGTTACAAAAGACGGATGGAATTTAAAATAACCACTGGCTTTTAAGAAGAGTAGTTATATAAATTTGACTTCAAAGGTAATGCATTTTATCTCAACACAAACTGAGCTAAATCAGGGGGCAAAGCCTCATTCTGTGTGTTACCCTGAACCTTCCTCTGTGCTGGTTTAAATGCAATAGTGTCTGTCACTATAAGCAAGTAAGAACGCACTCAGACCTCTTATTTATAAAACGCAACCAACAACAGAAAGAACAGAGGCTCAATTACTGTGAGGAGAACTTAAGGACCAGAGCTACAGCTGAAGGGGTTTTAACTAAAGGGATCAGATTGCCACTAATGCAGAGCTTGTTCAGCAACTAGAGCAGGAAGATACAAGTATTCCTGCAGGGACGGTGAAGCAAAGACATTAGGACTTTGGTAGAAGGAAGGAAAAAAAAAAAGACAAATAGACCCTGATATTTTATAGCAATGATGAGGACTGGACTACAGGGGTCCGGGAAAAGGGGAGCATCCTGAGATGAAAATCTAAGTCCTGTGTCATTTTGATGATGCATTTCGATCATTGATGTGTGCTATTGCTTGATGTTAAAAGGATTGACTTGGTGCACAATTCGACCTGTAAAAACCTGCTATAAATGATCAAATTGGCTTCAAAACATGTTTAGAGAGCAACTTTGCTCATTGATCCGAAAGCAAAGTGGATATGAGAGCTTTCTTTCTTTTTTTTAACAAAATAAAGCAACTATTTAGCTTAATGGTTTAAATCATTAAAATTTTAATCCCAATGACAATGTAGACAATCTTCGTAAGGGTCTTTATCTATCTATCTATAAATATATCTACAGTACGGTCTTGAAGGAGTTCCCAGACATGCTTAGCACTTGTTGGCCCTTTTGCCTTCACTCTGCGGTCCAGCTCACCCCAAACCATCTCGATTGGGTTCAGGTCCGGTGATTGTGGAGGCCAGGTCATCTGGTGCAGCACCCTATCACTCCCATTTTGGATCAAATAGCCTTTCCACAGCGCGGAAGTGCGGAAGATGCTGTGGTAGTCATGCAGGTTAAGTATTCCTTCAATTTTGAATAAATCCCCAACAGTGTCACCAGCAAAGCACCCTCACACCATCATCACACCTCCTCCTCCATGCTTCAGTGGGAACCAGGCATGTAGAGTCCATCCGTTCACCTTTTCAGCGTCGCACAGAGACACGATGATTGGAACCAAAGATCTCAAATTTGGACTCATCAGACCAAAGCACAGATTTCCAATGCTCTGTCTATTCCTTGTGTTCTTTAGCCCAAGCTCTTGTTCTAAAGATGTGTCTGCTGCTAGAACTCTGTGTGGCATTGACCTGGTCTCTAATCTGAGCTGCTGCTAACCTGCGATTTCTGAGGCTGGGCACTGGGATGAACTTATCCTCCGCAGCAGAGGTGACTCTTGGTCTTCCTTTCCTGGGGCGGGTAATGTGAGCCAGTTTCTTTTTGCGCTTGATGGTTTTTACTAGGAATGCACGATATAATCGGCCCCCTATCGGTATCGGCCTGTATCGGCCTTAAAACTGAATATCGGACATCGGCCACCCCACCGATATTTAACCCGATATTTGATCAGCTTTTAAGTTTCTAAAGTCTAAAAAAATATATATAAAATACTACTACTTCTTCTTCCTAAAAACTTATTTTTTACAGACTTAAAAACTTCTAAAGACGAGGGAAAAAATATTGATCCATTAAAATATCCCAATATCTTCATATGCTGATATATTGCCATTTAAAAACACCATATCAATCTCTTTTACTAATGAAATATTGCTATATGTCATCGTAATATAGCGAATTCCCCCAAAAATTCACGAAATTTTGCCATATTTTATATGTTGATATATTGACGCGGTATCGATCTATTTTACTAACAAAATCTCACAAGAATTTGCAAAATATCACGAGAGTTTGTAACTTTGTAACAGAACGATGAAATTTCACGAGATTCTGAAAGTAAAATAGATCGATACCGCGTTTTTAAAAATCTAATATCAGCATATGAAAATATATTTGAGTATATTATTTTTCAAAGTGTCAGAAATGGATAACAAAACTGCTATTTTCAATGACTACTTATTTTTGTCCAGCTTTAACATCGGTATCGATATCGGTTATCGGCTACATGAGTTTAAAATATCGGCATATCGGATATCGGCCAAAATCCCAATATCGTGCATCCCTAGTTTTTACCATTTCACTTGGGGACACTTTCAAAGTTTTGCCAATTTTTCGGACTGACTGACCTTCATTTCTTAAAGTAATGATGGCCACTCGTTTTTGTTTACTTAGCAGCTTTTTTTTCTTGCCATAATACAAATTCTAACAGTGTATTCAGTAGGACTATCAGCTGTGTATCCGCCTGACTTCTGCACAGCACAACTGATGGTACCAACCCCATTTATAAGGCAAGAAATCCCACTTATTAAACCTGACAGGGGACACTTGTGAAGTGAAAACCAATTCGGGTTACTACCTCTTGAAGCTCATCAAGAGAATGCCAAGAGTGTGCGAAGCAGTAATCAAAGCAAAAGGTGGCTACTTGGAAGAACCTAGAATATAAGACATTTTTTTCTGTTAAGTATATATTTCCACATGTGTTAATTCATAGTTTTGATCCCTTCAGTGTGAATATTTCATAGTCATGAAAATAAAGAAAACTCTTAGAATGAGAAGGTGTGTCCAAACTTGTCTGTACTGTATATATATTACTGTATTCCACAGTTGTACAATAAAATGTTCTCTATAAATATTTTAGATGACATAATTTAGCTTCCTTCTTATTTTCTGCGGTTTTCATCAAAACCTACCTGATAGTTGAACTCACTGGATTCTCTCAGACTGTCGATGTTGAGAAGGCACTTCCACACTCTCCCTCGTAGACTTGGAGGAATGCCCATCCTGATAAACCGTTCAATCTGAAAACAACAATAATAAAAACATTTTATTTCAAAGGCGCCTTTCTGGACACTCAACGTCACCACAAAAAATAGAGGTTTAAATACTGATTGGCTAAAATAATGCAGGAAATATTTCCAGTGTTTGTTGAAAAACACTAACCTGACTCCTGCAGATGAAGCTGGCTCCATTCCAGTAGCTGAGCAGTTCACACAGCTCCTTCACCCTCACCGAGCTCAGCTGAGGGTAGCTGACAGAGAAGATATTAGCTGATTAACCCCAAACGTTAAGTCATCCATCAGTGCATTGCTTTCCATTCACTATTTTTATTTGATCAGAGGTCAGGAGTTAAGATGTACATGAGAAAAAACTAAACATCTCTCTGTAGAGAGAGATTATCCATTATGTGGGGGGTTCTAAGGTCTCCCTAGGCAGAACAGAGAAAAGGTCCATCTGAACTGGATAAATTGGTCAGAAAACTCAAAGCAGAAGCGTTTCCACTGTCGCCATGATAAGTGCTGTCTGAAAAGTGCTGTAGGGAAGGAGCTTGGATGAGGAAGCAATGTGTTTGAACATTGCAAACTGTATTGATACTGTGTGACTGAATACTGACACCTGCTGGACATTTAAAATCACTACAAGCCTCTTTGACACACTGATGACCTGTATTATGATTTAAGCTATTGATTGCTGTTATGTATTATTTCATAGGTATCGTTTAAATTTAAGTTATGTGTGATATTTTTAGATGAAATACATAAATATGAACATGCAACTGGAAAAATTAAGGGAAGGTGTGAATAAGGATTTTTGTGGACTAGGGATTTATTTATTCAAAATATTAACTACAGTTAAAACAGCAAACTAAGAGAGAGGTTTACAAAAATTAGATGAATTACATTTAATTCATGATTTAATTTATGAGGATTGTTGGTTATTTACAGCATGCATAGGGTTTTCTCTTCTTAACATTAGGATTTATTACCCAACAAAAAATAATGAGCTTATTTTTGCCAGATATTTAATTCTGTCTCATAATCTTACATTTTTTATTTTTTTATTTTGGCCAAAAGGCAGAAGAAAATGTAACAGTGAAAATATTGACTTTGATTCATCGGTTATTATTAGTCTTAAAAAAAAACATTTTTCTAACTATGTCTAAGACCATTGCAGCTATGAGTTTAAGGGATCTTTAAGGCCAGTTTAGGTAATTAAGTCCAACCTGCGCCACACCTGTAATCATGGCATCTGTGGTGAAGTTTTTGCTCCTTTTTGCTGGTGAAAGCAAAGCCAAATTCATCGAAACCCAAACTGTCGCTGCGCCTTTTGTTTGTTGAACTTCTCCGACTGGCGCTGCTGCTGCTTCTTCTTCTCATTTCTTCTTAAATAAGCAGTTTAGATGGAAATCAGTGGAAAATCGCTGCCTGAAAACACTCGCTTTGTTCAACTCCTGTCAAAATCAACGGTCGCCGTGAGGACACGCCCCTAATTAAACGTCACCGGAGCGCCAATTATTTAGATCGAAATATTATCGGTAAAAAACGATAGATTATATGCAGTGAGGTTACACTAACATACAGCCTTTCATCAAACTACCAGCGGTCTTTGTCAGCCGAAAATATTTAGAATCAACAGCAAACTTTTCTCCTTCATTTTAAGGGGTTAACTTCTTACCGGTCAGCCGGGGAAAGGACCAGCCTGGAGAGGGAACAGATAATAAGATAAGCACCGCTTTCTGCACCGCTCGCCTTGCCGGCTTGGAAATGATGCAGAACCTACGGGTGATTTCAAAAGAGCCCACTGTTATGTAAACTGCATTAAAAATTAATCATATATATATATATATATATATATATATATATATATATATATATATATATATATATATATATATAT